GAGAAGGTCTTGACTATTTTGACACATACTCGTCGGTAACAAGAATTACATCCATTCGGATGCTAATAGCGTTAGCCGCCTTGTATGATCTTCAAATCCATCAAATGGATGTAAAAACAGCCTTCTTAAATGGTGATTTAGAGGAAGAAATCTACATGGACCAACCTGAAGGGTTTGTGGTTCCGGAAAAAGAAAAGAAGGTGTGTCGTCTTGTTAAGTCTCTTTATGGACTAAAACAAGCACCCAAGCAATGGCATGCGAAATTTGACCAAACAATGTTGTCAAATGGCTTTAAGATTAATGAATGTGATAAATGTGTTTACATTAAGAACGTTCCAAATCATATAGTCATTGTTTGCTTATATGTTGATGATATGCTAATAATGAGCAAAGACATTGCCGACATTCAAGCTACTAAGCGCATGCTTGCTAGTAAGTTTGATATGAAAGACTTAGGAGTTGCCGATGTAATTCTAGGAATTAAAATCAAGAGGACTCCTTAGGGTCTAGCTTTGTCTCAATCACATTACGTGAAAATGGTACTTGAAAAATTCAAACAATTGGAATTTAGAAGTTCAAGAACTCCAATTGACTTAAATCATCATCTTATAAAGAATAAATGTGAAAGTACGTCTCAATTGGAGTATGCTCGTCTGTTGGGAAGCTTAATGTACATCATGAACTGTACACGACCTGATATAGCTTGTGCGATAAGTAAACTTAGTCGATTCACAAGTAATCCCAACAAACATCACTGGGTAGCAATGAAACGAGTTCTGGGATATTTGGAATATACCCAAGACTACGCTTTGCACTATAATAAATATCCTGCGGTTATCGAAGGATATAGTGATGCAAACTGGATAACCGGCTCAACAGAAACAAAGTCCACAAGTGGATATGTTTTTACTGTTGGTGGAGGAGCAGTATCTTGGAAGTCTTCCAAACAAACGTGCATCGCTCGCTCTACAATGGAATCAGAGTTTATAGCTTTGGATAAAGCCGGTGAAGAAGCTGAATAGCTTCGAAATTTCTTAGAAGACATTCCGTTCTGGCCAAAACCTTTGGCTCCTATTTGCATACATTGCGATAGTGAGGCTGCAATAGGACGGGCAGGGAGCGTTATGTATAACGGAAAGTCTCGTCATATACGACGAAGACATAACACCGTTAGACAACTACTTTCTAGTGGAATTATCACTATTGATTATGTAAGATCAAAGGATAATGTGGCGGATCCGCTTACAAAAGGCTTAACTAGAGAGGGAGTTGAGAATTCATCTAAGGGAATGGGACTATGGCCGAGGACAAGTCAACATGGCGGTAACTCTACCTAGAATTTTGGATGTTCCGAGATCTAGGTTCAAGGAGCTCAAACAAAGTTGTGATTGACCGGTTCAACATTGTCAAAGTAAAATCTTTGGTCCCTTCTCGCGATGAAGACAATGTTCAGTAACAAGGATAGAACTTTACAAGTTCTTTAATGATTACCTAAGTTTGATGTGGTAGTTATCAAATAGTGTCAATCTAAAGGATTACACGTTTAGGAATCACCTATGTAAGTGTGAAGTGGAAGCCGCTTCAATGAGAATTCTGTAAGGCCAATTCTCTACGCACTTATGAGACCAGGCGGTGTTCATGGCTGAAACGAACACAACAATGAGAACTAAAAGACGGTTAAGGGTTGATTGTGTGACATATGATTGTCTAGGTATACACTAAAGTTCGACGGTTCAAAGATATCAAATCTACCGATTGACCGAGTATATCCGACATATGTTCACTACGGAAAGTTCAAAGGAAAACCTACTTATCCCTTTGAACTTTTCGTACTTATAACGTCCCGTCTCCTCTCTTTTTTTTTCTTCTTTTCTTTTCACGAAAATATGAGATAAAACAGTTTGTTATCCCTCCGGCCCACGGTTTACTTGCGTTATGCTTGATTTGAAGTTGAACGTGAGATACCTGAAGTTTTTCTTTTTTCAAATCTCAATAGAGGTAAAATATTTTAAGTGGTCTTTCCTCGTCTTGGTGTATAGAATTATTCATTAATTATACTGGTGAAAAACAATATTTTAAATATTTCGTAAAGTTAGTTGACACGTGCATAAATTGGTCGGAACCTTATGATTATAGAAAGAGAAAACGAAGGTGAGGTAATACGTGGATATGCATGGAAGCGATACACTTGGAACATAAAAGGATATGCACCACCGCTTTCTTTCTACGATAAGATCTCATTTCCTTTTCCGTCACTATCTGTATATATACCATAAGCAGATAAGACATCCTCGTACCTTTGCCGAGAAAACAGTCGAACACTATTCGTATAAAATTCTTGTTATAGTTGGTTTTGTTTAATAAGTAGAATACAATAAGATTAAGATGTATGCACCAGCACCACCAAATATGGCTGGACCAGCATCTGGTTGGACTCATCAACAACACTACAATAATACCATTGGTTCTGGTTTTTTTGGTCGCTACTTTTCTAACTTGTGCTTTGCCCTCTCTTCTTGGTTAGTACTCTTGTTAGTATTTTAAGGCAAGTTCGTTCAATTTTATCTGTTTTTACTTTTTTTAAGGAATATTTTCGGATGGGTAAATTGTCACGATATAAAAGATCAAATAATTAAGTAACTGACTCTAAAGAAGCAACAAAGGGAGATTCACTTTTATATTGTATTACAACTGTTTTGATCAGTAAATAAAACACAGGCGATCTATTTAGGTTCTTCTATTTAAATTGTAACTCGTTATCTTTCACCTCACCTTGAAAGTCTAGAGTGTCACTTACGAACGAGTTCATGTAACTTAAGAGCTTTAATTTTGTCCAGATCATGTATTAAATATTTCATTACGTTAACTTGAGATTGCGGATAAACTTTTAAAATATAAATGTTAAGATGTTGCTGCAATTGAGATCAGTTTTTCTAGTCAAACCAAAGGGCACCTAAGCATTTAGCTTAAGATGCACACGACATATAGATTGCTACTAACAGTTACACTTTTTATTGTGTGTTATGTCAGCTTCTATTTCCTATGCTGCTGTTGGGCCTTGGAAGACTGTGTCGGCAGACGAAGTTGGGCTTTAGGCCCTCGTGATCCTCCTCTAGGCTCAGGCCCAGGACCTTCATCTAGCCCATTTGCACCTCAACCTCCAGATGTTCCCGTGGTGCTTCCCGGCCCACCCGCTCCAGCTGAGGGCCCTCTACTGTGAATTGTGATAATCTACTTTGAAATCAATCTTTTTAATATTCAGTCAGGTACTTGTAATAAGTGTTCAATCATGAATTGATGTAATGCCAAAAAGAAAAGGAAAAAGTGCAACATGTGCGTAATAATGTATTTGTACTATCAGCAATGGCCGATTCGAAGTTTACGGGTTTCTACATATACATGATAACTGGACCAACTTATTGGGTTTCAAGTTAAATATTTTTTTAATTTTTGTGAAATTTTTTTAGTACAAATACATCGTCTTTTCAAAAGTTACTGAATTCACTTAAAATCCCCTTTTAAGTCTATGCGTATATCGAATATTTTGATTGTATACTAAAATATTGTTCTATGTTCTTGATCACGCCCAATTATGCCGTATAAAAAGGATTAAGCGGTCGCTGCAAATATAATTCGGTTTATAAGTTCGGAGTCGAATCCCACAGAGTACTAAGGTTTAGCTACAGTTGTTCACTATCACCAAGAAGACAAGCTTGAACAATTTTTAACTTATAGATATTAAGATTCTTGTGTTTAACTACTTAACTAACAAATTAAAATAGTGAATTAACAACTAAAGATATTGAGGGTTAAAAGAAAAGATTAAGGAGGTCTAGAGTTATGATTTTTCCAATTGTCGGAATTCTTCCCGTTATGTCTTTTATAATTTTGTCTAAGTATTCTCTACCGATCATGAGCATTCATATTACAGTAAATCTCTCCCGAGTAATTACGATAATTTGCTATACTAGACGCACTCTCCCGAGCTACGCTAGCTGGCTTTTAATACAGCTCACTTCAGATCGCACCCAAGGCTTCGTTATCCCTAATCCCACCTTTAAACCCTCGGTTATTGATCCGTCATATACTCTGGGAGTGGTGTTGTTCAACAATTACCTAAATATGTACTCTCTCCCGAGTTATGCATACTAAATAGGCACAGCTAATTGAGAGCTCTTCAACCAACCACAATATAAACGTAGTTAAACAAATAGAGAAAAGCTATGGCTCAATTATATAAAAACATAACAAGAATTTATCCTACAAAAGGTTCTATCAAAACTCTAGATAACAACTTAACTATTCATAATAGTATGTAAAACTATAATACTAAAAGTCATACCCAACAATGAAAAAAATAGGAAGAGGAAGGAAAAAACTCGTAGAAGAATTCTCCGTCTTGCTCCCAATGTGTTCTTGCCTCCAAGGGTGTTGTCTAACCCTAAAGTAGTGTCTCTCCGCCTCCTTAGGTCTAATTTGTGTCCAAAATATGTCCCATTCTTGTTCTTGGCCGGCCTCCTTTGTTTAATATAGGGTTTAGGACTTAAAATCCCATGTTTTGCACTTTAGTCCCTGAAATTTTCGCTTCCTGCCGTGGTCCCACCGCGGTCGCGGCCAAACCGCGGCCAAACATACTCTCTGATTCTTCAGTTGTCCGCGAGTACACTCTGTCGCGGTTCTGCCGCGGTCGCGGTGGAACCGCGATTTTTCACCCTGTTCCGTTTGGAATTTGGAAAAACGTAAAACATGAAAGTTGTAGCCCTTTGAGTTAGCTTTCCAACCATATATTGTGGAGCCCAAATGGAGTTCTGAGCAAAAAGTTATGTCTGTTTTACTAGACAGTGCACAATATGCCTCCTCAAGTCTTCGTTCGTACTTAATTATCAAATTTGACCCCCGAACACGATCCCGGCTTAATTCCTTGAGCTTTTACTCAGACTTCAAAGCTTCAAATCACTTAAATTCATTCCATAACATCTATATAGCTCGGAATCACACCTACAAGGCATAAAACACACAATTAGTGCAAAACACTAGCGATTAAAGCGCAAACTCAATTAAAGTGCAGTAAATTCGAGTGTAATAAACGACTAAAATATGCAATTATAGCCTATCATCTGTTCTTGAATATTCTTATTTCAGTTAGGAGTATCCTTCGTTTTTCGTTAATTTGAAGCAATAGGTCATGTAAGTAGAATATCTTCATTCTTCATTCTTCATAAAGGAAAACAATTTTCACTAATTAAGGCATATTGACCAGTAGAAAAAATTAAACAACTCACACCTCATGTTTCACTAACTACATAGTTAAGTGATGATTTAAGGTGTGACACATATTATATATTTATTGATTTGGTGTCGAATAAGGTGTGTTAAATATATTCCTATTGAGCATCTCCTTTCCTTTCTTTGCCACGAATTACACAAAAACTCCTTTAAGGTAATGGTAATGGTAATGGTGAAGAGAGGCAGATCGACAGCATAGCAACTATACAGTTGTGTTGAATATTTAAATGATTGTGCATCTCATTCAATATAGTATAATAATATTTCTTTAGCTTATCCATCTATGGATTGTGAGTCAAAAACTTCATAGATACGTCCCCCTTTGCTCAATTCTCTAATTCCTATGCATTTTTCAGTAGCAATGACTCACTCATGACTCACCCCACCTGCATCTAATCTTGACTCCTTATTGGCTACACGGATCTCAGTCTGACAATCCATGTTGGCACTCATTTTTATGTGTTTATTCATATTTTATTTTAGAAAGGAAAAAAAAAGGGAGATTGCAGAGGATATACCCCTCCGGTCTAAAATAAGTGATTTTTTGAATGTTTTCACACAAATTAAGAAATTCACCTTTTAGCATTAATTAGAAATTGAGTTGATCATATTAACCTTTACTATCTCACATAAACACTCCTAACACGTATTCCAACATCATTTACTTCAAGGACAATGTAGAAAAAAAATAATTAATTCATTCTTGAAATCTGGAAAATCACTTATTTTGAACCACAAGAAAAAGGTCAAAAAATTACTTATTTTGGACCGGAGAAAGTAATAAATTGGAATTCTCTCGAGAGTTTATGTACATGCATGATATGGGCCGAATGAATTATTACAATTATTTTGTAACTTGTCCTTAGTCCTACCTAGCCTGTATCACTTAATTAGCTCAGTTTTATCACAAAACAATTGGTGCCTAGGCACTAGTTATATTCAACGCCAATGGTTTCTATGGACACAGATATTCAGTTTTTGCATTCTCACGACTGGGGGATTTTTACCTTCCTATACCACATATGAAACCTTATTACCCTTAATATTTAAGGTTTGAGTTAATTACATTTCAGCATACCAAATTAACATTTATATACCATAATTAATTTAGAGGTATAATTAATTGGCAGTTTTTTACTCCTTAATTAAAGGTGTCCATATATCCCACGTTTCTCTCTCCCCTTAATTTCCAAGATCTGACCAACACTGTTTTCCCCTCCCATTTCTTTCTCTTCTCCATTCCTTCTTCTTCTCAAAAAATACAGAGATGAGACCCATTTTTTATAATAAGATTTTTAGCCGAAGAGATTCAATATGAAACCCATTGTAAATCCCATACAATAATAACGCCAAATACTGGCGGTGGCTGTGGCCAACACCAATTTGGTACATATACAACCCTGAAGATTTCATTAAGGAGTAGTCATGGGCCTTTGACAAGGATGAAGATGGAATAAGAAAGGTTGGTTTATTTGTAGTTTTTTTTTGTGAAATTTTGTAGATGAAGAGAAAATTTTGTAGTCAACATATTTTTTCAACATAGATTATAATTTAATTGTAGTATAAATGTAGTAATTTTATAGATACCCTTAAAAACAATACAACTTTATACAATACTTAAACTGATTTGTAGTTTATTTGTAGAAATTTTGTAGATAAAGAGAAAATTTTGTAGTCAACATTTTTTTTCAACATAGATTGTAGTGTAATTGTAGTATAAATATAGTAATTTTGTAGATACCTTTCAAAACAATACTGCTTTATACATACGTAAACTGATTTGTAGTTTATTTGTAGATTTTTTGTAGAAAATTTGTAGATTAGGAGAAAATTTTGTAGTCAACATTTTTTTTCAACATAGATTGCAGTTTAATTGTAGTATAAATATAGTAATTTGTAGATACCATTAAAACAATATTGCTTTATACATACTTAAACTGATTTGTAGTTTATTTGTAGATTTTTTGTAGAAAATTTGTTGACTGGAGCTAGAGGAATGGAAAATTTGATTCTCTTTTTCTTCTTCATGGGAGACTCCCCGGAAATCAGATTCCAATGTATCTTCAGGCGCAACAAATTGCTGGTGAATCTCGGTAATGGATGATGTTGGAGACATGAGTTGACTTACTGGGCGTGGATTAAAAGTTGCAGGGCAAGGACGTGAAAAATGAGGAAAGAGAAGCCTGCAGAAAAAGGAGGAAACAAATCTGATGTGAATATGGAAAAATATTTAGTCCCAAATTTTTAGGCGCCTAATTTGGAAAGAATAAGCTATTCAAATATTTATCCCAGATTTGTAGGCGCCTAATTTGGAAGGAATCAGCTCTTAATATTGGGTATTTAATGAATGGTATAAATTTTGTAGGAAAAATATTAACATGGCGGGTAATAATGAAATTATGCACATTTTTAGTAATAAGGTTTCATATATGGTATAGATAGGAAAAAATCCCATAATAATTTTTGTGTCAGGCTTTTTGGATAAATGATTGTGAAATAAAATACTTTCCCTGGATAACATAATTATGACGAGTCCGGAACCAAATGTTGTTATTTTGGACTCAAAAGACACAAATAAGTGTAAAAAAAAGGTGACCATAATATATATAACGCCAGAAAACCTGGCGCTATATAATAACGGTAACTGCACCGTTAATGTATAGCGCCAGGTTTTCTGGCATTATATACTGACACAGTGATATAGCGCCAGAATTTGTGTTAACGCTCACATATTTAATAGGGGGTACCGGCCGGATATGAATTTTACAAGTGGCCCATCCGGTAGTCATCACCTAATTGATAACGTCCATCATGGAATTTTATCACATTACGACTTGCAAGTGAAGTGATTTACGCAAAATATGGAAATTATTTATTAATTTAGTAGCTTATATTTTTGTTGGTTGTGCAGTGAAAGCAAGTTGAACTCACTCAATTGCCCGAAAATGATGTATTACATCGGGACTTGGCAGATGCACAGAGTGAGGAACAGAACAATGATTACGATAACAATGCGGATGAATCCGGGGATGAGACACCCTTTGCTCGTGAGGATGGTGATACAGAGGATGAGGAGGAAGGACCTGATTTGAAGAGAGACCCCCCTAGACGAAGAGTGTATGAGTCCGAAGTGCCGTTTTATTCAAGAGA